TCAATTCTACAGTGAATCCGTTAAGTTTTATATGCCATCACATATGAAAGAAGGATCCAGCCTTCTTGCAGCATTTCCAACATTGTTTGGGAAAATAATTATTCACTTTCACAATCAAGACTGAAGTGGTATGCCAATGGTAAAACACCTTAACTTAAAAACACCTCTCTGAGGGTAAAATTTGAAGTAAATTTGAAATTCTTCTTCCCACTGTTGCATCTGTATCATTATATTCGTATTTTGTATCCATTGAATCATGCAATCTCTAACTTGTTCAGATTCACTAATCTGAATCTAATCTCTAACTTGTTCAGATTCACTAATAATTTATAAATCATACCAAGCAAATGGTCAATAATACATGTTACAAGAGTTTCAAATTTGGTCAAACTTCTCAATACTTCCCCCCCCACACTTTTTTTTTTTTTTGGTAACTCTTTTGCTGCCACACTGCTTATTTGAAGGTACTGAAACTAATTAAATATAAAAAAGCATTGCATAGTAAGAGATGCAGGGGATTTTATCTTTTCCCGTGCTCAATAAAATCTTATAATCTAGTATTGCATAAACTCGTATAGGCTACTTCTATGTGTGTCGATCCAGATATATCTGTGCAGCCCTTTTGGAAGACCTGATCCTTCTAAAGCAGAGTGAGTTTGAAGCTTCACAGAGCAGGGTTCCTCAACCTTGGCAACCTTGGCACCCAGCAAGGCTGGCTGGGGAATTCTGGGAGTTGAAGTCCACCCGTCTTAAAGTTGCCAAGGTTGAAGAACCCTGTCATAGAGAACCCAGATTGGAACAGAGCAATATAAGTGTAGATGTAACCATCTTGGGAAAAATTATTTCAGTTGTCTCAGACCACCGTGGAATCCACATTTCAGGCAAACCCAGTGCTCATCCCTAGTGAATAGCTCCTTATTAAGTGCTAGTGACACTCCCTATTTAAATGTGCTGCATGGAGGAGAGATGAATCAACTAAATTTGCCTCCCCTTCCCCCTTACTCCAGCAGAGTGACTACAGATGGAGTTGTGTCTTTGGATAGGCAGAAAGCACATCACTGAAAGCACATATACATTTATTAAAAACAACAATAAACAAGTATCTAAATTTGTTAAACTTCATCACCTGTGAATAAGATGGAGAATTATTGTTGGTTTGGTACAGAATCTTCTGGCTTCATGGATATTCTAACTATTGCTCTGGACAGAGTTGTCTTGCTCCTGAAAGAGCTTGTTAACAATCTGGGGCTTCTGCTGGACTCACATCTATTGCTAGAGCCACAAGTGGCAGCCATGCCCAGGAGAACTTTTGGCCAGTCCACCAGTTATAGCCATTCCTGGATTACAAAGCAGTGAAGATGGCGGGTGACTCATGCCCTTATCATCTCTCAGTTAGACTACTGCAATTTGCTCCTTGAGGATGATCCAGAAGCTACAGCTGTGCAGAACATAGCTGCTTGCCTGCTGACCAGCACTAGCCAGTTCAATAGAATAACACCTATTCTGTGAGAGCTGCATTGGCTTTGAGTTAGCTTCTGGATCCATCTCAAGGTGCTGGATGTTACCTGTAAAGCCCTATCTAGCTTGGGCCCATACTACCTGCAGAACTCTCTCTCCAGGTAGAACCTGGCTGCTTTACATGGTCTTACTGGCAGAGGATGTTATAGGTACCTGCCCCTAGAGAAAACAGGAGGTTGGGACCCCCAAAATAAATAACATTCTTAATGGCAACTCCATAACTTTGGAGCAGCTAATCCACAGAAGTCTGATCAGTTCCCACTCCTAATATTTTAGAAGCCACTTAAAATTGTCTTCTTTGGTCAGGAATATTTTAGCTGATGGCAGCAACAGAAACAGTTTTATGGTTTTAATGTAAGATTGATTTTATGGATATTTGAATTTATGCACATTGTAAATGCCTAGAGTTACTCAAGTAGGTAGCATACACATTTCAGTAAGTAAGCAAATAAATAACAACAAAATATGATGAAGCCATTTTGCACCAACTAAAGTTTAGATTTTGATTTCAGTTTTCCGTATCACAGAATATACATTACAGAAACTGTTGCAAGAATGTCTTAATACTGCTGGCTGTTCTCCCAGCGGAGCTCCAACCTTTTCTTTGTGCACAACAGACTCCTTCTGGTCCTTTTGCAAAGAAGGTGATCTAACCAAACAATGAGACATGTAACGTCAGCCAAATGTAATCATTAATCTGTAAAGCTAGGCAGACTTGAGCTGACTTTTTGAGTATGAAGCTCCCTAAATCTCCATCTAAGTGCAGAGGTATACCATCTGAGGCCTGAGAACTGCATGCAACCCCCAGAAATTTGGGTGAGCCTCAGAAAGACTTCCAAAAGTTATAGCCAAGTACTTTGTAAGCTGACACAAATGGACAGTGATTAAATACATAACTGCAGAGTAATCACATAAATTATAATTCATTTTAATTAAATGTAGTGCACACAAACCACAATTCAACTTGGTATGCCACTCAAAAGTCAACATGGTTCTTGACCCAGTAAAAATCATGCAGCCCTGCCTTAGAGGAAGGACAGAACCCACACCAGAATATTTCAACAGATAAATATTGGAAGACAGAAATGTATAAGATAAGAGCCTTGCTTTGTAACTACCTATCATATCTCATCAACATAGTAAGATATTAGAGTCTTCCCTTCTTTTTTCCTTTTTTTTTTTTTTTTTTACTTCTTAATTAAAAAAAAGAGTCATCCATTCAGGGGGGGAAAAAAAGAAAAAGAATGTAGCAAGAGTTACTCCAGACATAATTAAAACATACCCAATGGGGAAGAGTCATTAACTGACTCAGGACCTTAAAGAGGGTACAGTCAATGCAGGGCCTGCAATGCAAGTGTTACATGTTCCTAGCAATGACAGTCGCCCAGAGTCATTGGGAGTCAGGCAGCCTATAAATTGTATAAATAAATAAACAAACCTTCCAGATGGTCTTTAAAGACAGCCCCACATAAAGCACATGCATCGTATGCAGTAGTCTAAATGGGTGGTGATGATAGCATGGATCCTTCTCACAGGGTCATCTTGTCTCAGGAAAACCACAGCCTCCACTTGCCGCTCTAGCAGGAGCTGTGCACAGACCTTCTCCCTTAACAGTACCTTATGCTCACTGAGTAATCACTGCAGCCTAAAGAGAATCATGGTACACAAACACAACTCTAACTTGCTAGGGTTCAAGTATCTGCCAGCTGGTGGTCTCTTCCTGATCCTAGTGAGCCCCTTTCTAGCCAAAGAGTGAGAATAATGCTAGCTAGGCTATGTAAGCTGAAGGTTAGCTTTGTGCAATTGTGATGGAATGGAATTATGAAGGCCAAGCTCAGGGAGATAAACATTTTGATTGATGCCAGGCCTAGCCCAAGGAACTCCAAGAGACAATGCCAATTCAGTCCAGCTATGTTTATTAGCTACACCCTCTAGAAAGATTCTCCCCAGACTAAACCCCCAGCCCCCAAAGTCCCCCAGCCACAACAGTGTGAATTCCTCAGGGAGGTGCCAGTCTCATCATCTTGTTCCTTCCACGCGTTTCTGGTGAGCTAAGAAAATGTTTATCTCCCTGAGCTTGGCCTTCATAATTCCATTCCATCACAGCGATACTTTTAATCCACAGTGTCCTCAGGATGGCAAAAAGAATTGTTACTCAAGGATCGCATGCTGGGAAAACATTCCTAACTGTAATCAAAGCCTAAATTCATGGAGTTATTCTTCTTTTCACTATTATCTTTGTTTCTCCCAGTTCCCTAGTTAT